GAGAGAGAGAGAGAGAGAGAGAGAGAGAGAGAGAGTAGAATTCTTACCTTTTAATCAAAAATCATAATGGCATAGTTCTGAGCGACTAAATAGTTTTGTTCTGCAAATAAGTAGAGTTCTTGATACAGTAAAAAAATTGAAACAATTTTGAAAAAGTAAATTTTTATATATAATATAATAATTCTGATCTTTTTATTTAGGTTTTATTTATTTTTGAAGAGTGTATTTTAATGATTTTAAAAAATTCAAGCATATGAATAAAAAAATTACAATTCCGATTAGTTCTGAGTGGAGTTTCAAAAAGTGAGTTTTCTAACGAAAAGTTTTACGAATCAAAGCGATCGGAGTGGTTTGTAAGATACTCGATATATGAAGCTGTGACGAAAATGTTTCAAATCTCGAGAGTAAAAATTTTTTGAGAGTTCCAGATAGTTCTGAGTGAAGTTCTGATCAGTTCTCGATGAGTTTTAATAAAAAATCTTACGAGTCAAAGTAATCAAAATGTGTTAATTTTTTAAAGGTTTTTTTCATCAAAATTTTTTTAAATATTAAGACTTCTAGATATTTGCAGAACAAAGTTATTTAGCCGCTCAGAACTATGTTATTAGAATGTTTGATTAAAAGATAGCTTTTCTTACATTTTAAACTCAAATTTAGAGTAAGTAATCATCAAACTCTTTATATAAACTATAGAGAGAATTCTTAATCTCTTCAAAAAAAATAAAGCAGAAACTGTAAAATCACATCTGTAAACATTTAATTAGTTAAGATGCCAATTGAACGGATCTAATATTATAATTATAATATTATAATTATTATGTTAAGTAATTATATTAAAGTTTGAATGTTTGCAAATTTGAAAACACTGAAGTACAAATTTAAAAACTAAAGCAATTTTACAATCGGTTTTTTACATCATTTTTTATAAAATCTACGTTACATTAAAGTGAGATGAGTGTGAAGTTTATGATTATTGCTTTGACAGACTTTTTAGTATACAAAATTTTATAATACAATATTTTATAATATTTATTATATTACATATACAGGGTGTTCCAGAATTGGTGTGACATCTCTCGTAGGAAGATAGAAGGAGTAAACCTGAGTCGAAAAGTCTTGAGCCATTTTTTTCTATTATTTATAACAAAGAAGTGAGTCACGCTCCTGGCGTGTGTGAACGCTCCGCGCGGTTCACTGACGTGCGCCTGGCTAAAGGTCAGCGCTGATTGGCTTGATTTACTCAATAATTACTCCTTTATTATAAATAGAAAAAAATGGTTCAGGATTTTTCGACTCAGTTTTACTCCTTCTACCTGCCTACGAGAGATGTCACACCAATTCTGGGACACCCTGTATATGTAGATAGGTAGATATAATTTATTGACTTCCCTCAAGATTGCAATATATATACATTACAAAAATAAACTTTACCAACTAACTTATAACTACAATATCATATACTAACTTCCGTCTATCTCGTACACTAACTTAAATTAACTCATCTTTGTTTTATCTTTAACTTTGCTACACAAGCCTTATACTTATTTCTTTACATTCGCCGCAATCTACATACGCAGTTTTACAATTTTAGCCTACACAAACTACTTTTACCTACGCAAGCTCGTATGAAGGAGATCACGTTTCCACTCTTTCTCTCTTTTTCACATTCCTTTCGCTCTCTTCTTCTTCTCTCTTTCTCTCTCTCTCTCTCTCATTCCTCTCTCTTTCTTTTCTTCATTCTTTCTTTTATATCCTTTCTTCTTCTCCTTCCTATTCTCTTCCCTATCCTTTACTCTCCTTCTGTATTTCCTCTAATCTTACAATTAGTATATTTTTCTCTTCATCCGACCTCCACTATTTCCCATCAATTTGTATTCTTTCGTATTTTACCCATACATTTGATTCCGGTTTTTTCTCTCTTTCCTAGCTATCTCACTTAATTTCTATTGCATTTTCCTTTCTTTTCATGTCAAGTTATCTTCTCCGTTCTTCCATTTAATCTTTCTTTCTTCTCTATTACCTAACCTCTTTCTTTTCTGATCTACATTATTTAATTCTACTACTCCTCCAGCTTCTTCAGCCATCGTTCTCCTTCTCTCTTCTCTCTCAGAACCACCTCTACCATATCCTCTCAATTCCCTACCGCTCCCCATACCCCACAATCCTCCCACACCTGCCTCCAACCCTCTTCCACTAAGCCACATACACGTGCCTCTAACCCTCTTCCATCAAGCCACATTTTTTATTTCTATCTGTGCTCTTATTTCCTTCAAAATTTTCTTCACTTATTCTCTCTTTTTTCCATACTTTGATTTTAACTTTATTACTAATATATTTCTTCCAATATTATTATTTTACAAATGTTAAATAATAGAGAATTATCTCGGGCTTTTTTAGTATCAAACTAATGAATAATGTGTAAGTCTGGTCAGTAAGAGCCAATCGTAAGATGTTGTGCGGAAATGATGTGCGTATATATACGTATGCATACATTTATATATATGCATTCACGTGTAAATTTTTCGTGTATTATTATTTTACTTTTAAAAGTCTTTCTCTTCTTTTTCTATTTCTCCTATTTTATTAACTCTTTTTTTATTCTTTCTAATTCCTTTTTTACTTTCTTCTCTCTTTTTCATTTCTTTTAACATCCTTCTCACATCTTTTTTAAATTCTTCTCTTATCTTTCTCAGTTCTATTATCTCTTCTTTCTTTCCTACTTTTTTTTCATCTTTTTTTCCCTTCTATCTTTTCTTCCTCCAGCTATTATTTTTATTTTTCTTCTTGTTGACCCGTTTCCAATTTTTTGTCTCTAATGTTTCTAACCAACTATTCATAAATTCCCTCTCGCTATCTATCACTATTGGGTTATCTCTGTTTATTGGTGATCTACTCATTTTATTGTTTCTCTTAAACGCCTATTCATCCTCCCTCTCTTCTTCGCCCATTTCTAAATCATTATCTTTACTTAATCTCACTTTTCCTCTTTTTTTTAAATAACCATTCTTTCATCGCTATCCTTTCTTCTTCTCCAATCATTTTCAGGCACGGATCCCTCCATAGATTTCTATACTACACTACATCGCTAACTTAAATAGTGGAGGTAGACAAAAAGTAAAGCCAACTTATTAGGTGTTGGAATTAATTCGTAGCGTTTTACAAGACATGGCGTAGGTAGTACAGTATTTTGTTGTTATCTACAGTAATGTATTTATCATAAAACAGCTGTCATTGGACGTCATTTGCTTTACATAATCTTTTTTTGAATCGTAAATAACAACACTTTACAATTTATTGAATATGTCAAAATTTGTGCCGAATAAAGTGTTTTTGCGGGGAAACGTTTTTTGACGTGTGAACTGCTGCTTCAACGGGAGAAAAGAAAAGATTTTTTGCATCGAATTGTCACCGGTAATGAAAAATGGATCCGTTACGACAATCCGAAGCGCAGAAAGTCATGGTTTAAGCCCGGCCAACCATCAACATCAGTGGTAAAGCCGAATATCCATGAGTCTAAGCTCCTGCTCTGTATTTGGTGGGATCAGAGGGGTGTGATCTATTATGAACTGCTG